GCTTCTACAGTCTCCATTTTTCGGTTGTCACATTTGCACCTTTGCTGGGATTCTTCTATTTGAATTATTCACTTCTCCTCACAACTGTGTCACATCTCTTCAGGCTTCAAGTGTGCATCCTCAGTCTAATGGGGGCCACTCTCAGAGAGCCTGGCGGGGAGGAGTCTTCCCCTCAGGATAATGATTTAGAGAGAGGTCCTTCTGTGTGTCTCCTCAAGAACTTGGAAATAGACCATTCAGAGGCTGAACCTTGTCTTTGGTCCTCTTTGTGCTATGTACTTTTGGTTCTGGGGCTGTTCACATGTTGGTTTATTGATCTTTGCCAAACTGTAAGGATGCCACTGTGTGCTAAAACTGGCTTTGAAGTCCCTAGTCATTAAAAAAAAGAAAAGAAAAGAAAAAATAAGCTTAAAAAATGTTATCTACCATCCAAGACAGAAGAAAGTCACATCCTCTGCCCGCTTTGGCCCCTGATGTCTTCGGGCAACTGGGACACTTACAGCGGTTTGCAAGCTCATCTGCACCATTAATCCCTTTGCTCCAAGATGCTACATCTCTGAGGCCTTCTCTTGCCTAGTTGTATTTTACGCACACATTGTCCTCCTATCCTGCTTTACTGTTCTTCCCAAACACCGTATATAACCTGATTTATTGTTTAAGTGTTTGTCTTCCACAATAGACACTTCCTCATTCCTTGTTGTCTAGTCCTAGAGCCTAACACATAGTAGATGCTCAGTAAGTATCTGTTGTTGACTGAATAATTACATTAGGTCTACTGCCATACCTGGCTTGAGCCTCATTAATGATACACAAGTAATCCGAATCTCAGAAATTGCTAGTTAATCTTAGAGGTAGCATTTTATTTAGTGTTTAAGAACTGGCAGTTTTGTGGCACAGCACAAAGCCAGGTGTGGTGGACCAGGCCTGTAACCCAGGGAGGTAGACGTAGGAGAATCAGGAGTTTGAGGGCTGTTTTTTTGTTTTGTTTTGTTTTTTAATGCAGGGTTTCTCTGTGTCACCCTGGCTGTGCTAGAACTCGCTCTGTAGCCCAGGCTGGCCTCAAACTCAGAGATCCACCTGCCTCTGCTTCCAGAGTGCTGGGATTAAAGGCGTGAGCCACCACTGCCAGGCTGAAAAGTGTCTGAAAACAAAACAGAAACAGTGTACTGGCTACGAAAGTACAGAGCACGTGAGAAATAGGTCCATCCTCAAGGCATTACAATCTCATACATGCACATATAAGGAACAGCAAAGCCAGGAACAGTTTCAAAACACCATCGGAGCCCTTCATGATCTAACAATTCTGAGAGGTTTAGGAGAAGGCAGGGGAATTTTGGTGCAAGTTCAGGATAAGGCAGGGGAATTTTGGTGCAAGTTCAGCCTGGATGACAAAGAGAATTAGGGCCCAGCTTGGGCTAAGTAGTAAGACCCTATCTCAAAACAGAGCAGGAAAATGATGAGGAAGAGGAAAGGAGAATAAGGAATACAATCGTTCTGAGGAAGTAATGAGGCTTTTGTTCTTTCATTTTTTTTTTTGTTTTTGTTTTTTCCCCCTGTATTTTTCTGAAGAATTACACTAGTTAGGGAATGTTTCCTGGAGGCCATTTAAATTGCCATGCAGAAGGAAGGTAGAAAGGTATGTAAACAAATTATCTAACTGCAAAATATCTTACTCTGAACCAGTTATCAAGTTCCAAGTTTCCCCGGCTTCCCTGGGTTCAGACACCTCAGCAGCAAGACTCACGGACAGCAGTTCCATTCTTGCCTGCACATGGTCATGGTTTGTTTCTGGTGTTTAGAGACAAGGTCCCTATAGTCATGTGGCTGTAATAAGAGCATGCAGAAATCAGAGTGAAGGACAGAAAATGGCCCTTCTATCTTCCTCTTATGGAATGAGGAAGGAATACTCCCTCAGTGCTGTGTGATAACGAGCATAGAGCACAGACCACAAGGAAAGCCATCTAGCCCTGGCCTGGTCCATCAGAGGGCTGACTGCTCACGTGACTGCTCTCAGCTTTCAGCCCTTTGAGCACCCGAGTTCATGACCTAACGTCCCTGCCCAGATCGCATCCAATGCCCTAATCTTAGACCACACTGATAGAATGTGGTTGACCCAAGATTCCAGGGATCACAAAGTCCCTCTTTCTCAGGTCTGAGATAGCGGGTCTTAGAGACCTTTCGTATCACCTCTGTTTGGAATAGATGAGCTAATTCTCTGTAACACAGGAGGAGAGAACTTAGATAAACACCTCTGCTCAGATCAATAAGGATTCAGCCAAGAATGGGTGACTCGACTCTTTCAGGGAAATAGGGAACTCACCAGTTTCTCAGTTTTCTCCCTTTGAAATGACATCTTTCTCTCTGACCTAAGCTGGTCTGGAGCTCACAGCCTCCAGAATGCTGGGATTACAAGCCCACACTACCAAGCTTGGCTTTGTAGATATTTTCATGGGGATGCCCGATAGTGAAAAATAAAAGCAGGTATTTTAGATGAGTGCATATAGTTTGGTAAGCAAATGCTTCATAGATTGAATATTTTCTATAATTGATCATGATTCTTCTCTAATGTAATTTTTTATTGTCTTCTGGAATTTCATATAATGTATTATTATATTCACCCCTGCTGTATTCCTTTCCCAGCTCTCCTCAGATCTACCCCACCTCCCCAACCCTCTTTTTTTGTCTTATTTAATTATTATTGTTCCATGTATTCATGTGTGTCAATATATGAATACAGCCGCTGAGTCCATTTAGTACTGCTCATAGGTACGTTTTTTTTTTTAGGAAAATGTCATTTTCTTGATTTTACAGATAAATCAAACATCAAACCATAAATGAATCTGGTGATAGCAAAGTTACCTATTGGTGTATAACAAGCCACTCCAAAAGTTCATGTTTCAAAGTAGCCTACCAAGTTTGTTCATGGTTCTTCGGGGCTCAAGTTTGTGGTTTCTTCTTGCTTTCGCCTGTGACACGCTCATGTCTGAATCCTGTTGTGGTTTGACAGGCACTGGGTGACCTGAGGGTGGCCTCACAAACCGCTTATTGTAAGCTGTTGGCAGGTGTTGGCAGGGTACACGGCTGTCTTCCACACTGGCTTCCCAGCAGACCAGTTCTTTGTCCACATGGGGCAGATTCCAGGAGGGCGACAGCAGGAACTATAGGCCTGTCCAAGCCGCTGCAAAGAAGGCTCATAAATGCATTTCAAAATACCCCATTGGCCAAAGCCTAGTCCAGGTTCCAGAGCAAGAGAAACAGATCTTGCTTCTCAACAGGGTCAGCCACAGGACCTTTGCAAAAGCTGCTTGAACAGAAACTCTCCATCCATCTTTTTTTTTCTTCTTTCTCCAAGACAGGGTTTCTCTGTGTAGCCATGACTGTCCTGGAATTCACTCTGTAGACCACTTGGGCTTTGAACTCACAGAGATTTGCCTGCCTCTGCCTACTGGGATTAAAGGCTTGCACCCCCATGCCAGGCTCATCATCTCTTTTGAACTCCCAGCTTGAAGTCAATTCATTATTCCTTCCTCAGCCTCCCGAAGCACACTTTGGGTGTGGTCATTGGATTAAAGTTGACCACCTGCAGAAGACTCTGTTGTCAAAAGCATGTACTTCACTACATTGTAAGTGGGACATTGTTACTAATTGTTAGACATTTTCTTCTTTTGTTTCTATTTGGGGGTGGGTATTTTACTCAATTAATGCCTTAGTTCTTTCTATACAAGCTGGTATAAAGATTAGCTTATTTGGGTCATGGTCCTAAAACCAGAAGCATAAGAGCAGAGAGGAGGCATTTGCTTGGCACTGGGGGAGGACCTCACACCTGGGAACTGCCCAGGTCTCTCTTCCTCTACTTATAAAGCCACTAAGGCTACCATGGGGTCTCACCCTCATGAAGTCTCTAACCCCAGTTCCCTCATAGTGACCCCACCTTTAGATTCTCTTAGCCTATTACTGTGGTGGGTTAGAATTCTGACACATGACTTTGGAGAGGGCACATATTCAAACCACTGCAGCTAAGCAGTCTTCTATAGCAGAGACACTTGTATCTTCTGGTTCTACAAAATGACAGCCCAGCCTGCCTGGGATGGAAACACTAGCTTTGGGTCTGGCTAATGGGGTGGTGCAGGCTTGTTGAACCTAAGGTCACATCCCCGAAGAGGCTTCTGATGGTAATTCCCTTCCCTGTAGGAAAGGCTTTCCGGAAAAAGCTTGAGTCACTCAAGAGTGGAGACTGTTTTATCGATACTGTATCCGGGTTGTTGGAGGACTTTAATTCTGAAGGCTGGGGAGTGGATTTGAGGATGAGACTGGTGGGGGTCCTTGGAGGCTGGCTGTACTGTCGGTGGGCTGTGGCTGCAGCTCTCCCAAAGCTCTGGGTACTGTGATTGCTCCCAGTGGGACTTATATTTCAGGGAAGTAGAAATGAATCACTCAGAGCAGAGCTAAAATTTCAAGTTGTATAACGTGTCCCTGGTGCTGTTTGTCAATGCAGACCCCGGTCTCATATTAAAATGTTTTGTTCCCCTCCAGATGATCGCATTTTCATTTCTTAAGTGGTGCATTGCTCTTCTTGCCCCCTTGGGAAATCAGTCATATTTGCCTCCCTGGTCAGCGGTCAGCTAGATGGTTATGTTCCGTGGTTCTTCCTTATTCTCATTTTTCTCTGCTGCCTGCAAGCAGGGGTTAGCATTATAACAATTTGCCCCCGTGAGGGCCAGACACTAGAAAGGTGGGGGGATCACCCTGCTCCTATCAGCAGTGAAATATTTTCAGAAATTGACCTTGGAGTTTCCGCCAGTTGGAAACCATGGTAACCGTCACTGGCCCCTGGAAAATTATTTCTCTTTACAGCATCCCTGTCAATCAGGCCATGCTTCCTCTAACTTCTAAAGCTGTGATCCTTAGAGAAGAAATGGCAGCACAAATCCATCATTCGAATATGGGGATGATTATTGATGTCTAAGACCGAGGGAGGCATCAGCCTTTTGTGCTGCAGGATGGAGTCCTTAAACAAATAACAATAGCTGGCTAGCAATTCTATATCACTGTGCATCTACTGGCTACTTGCTAAAGCATTTTACATGTACTATATTAACTCATTGAATGCTCTCAATTCCATAAAGGGGGTAATATTAATTTAATTTGCTGCACCAGGATACAAGACACAAAGATAAAGAGATATACACGGGATCACTCAGGCCAGCTTTCTAACCCAGATATTCTGCTCTGGGATCCGTTGGAAAGCCACTGTACTGTCTCTCGTTAAAGACAGAAACTCTTTTCCAGGTTGAGGGGAGATTGCAACCCTTTGCTACT